AACCTCCCACACGAGCTGGAACGACACAAAAATGAGCAACAACAAGAAGAACAAGAGACTTACTAGCGCCACGGAATTTCCGACACTTGATTTGTGTTGTTTGCCCTTTTTTTTGGGTCTTGAATCTTAAGAGAACCTTGAGAGGATGTTCCTAGGGTTCTAATGTCTGAAAATAGTGAGACGAAATGACATAAAACGGGTTGTAGGCATCCTATATAGGTCCAAATATCTTAAACCGCCTTAGTGGGCCCCATAGAGAGGTGCTTGGCACAGTCTCGCAAAAATATGAATATCTCTCTACTCCGAGATCGTATCGATGAACGGTTTAATACGTTGGAAACTAACTCATAGATATTTAATTTGGTTGGTAGAACACCCCGTAATTCCTTGTAAATTAGGAGAAAAGATTAGAAACATTTGACCTAATGTTTAAGTAAAATTATGAACCTAAGTTGCGACAACTTTTGTCGACTTTTGTTTCATAACTCGTTTGACTTCAAGACTTATGATACGGATATTATATGATTAAAATAACTTAATACATGACCTCTTGAGTGTATTAAGCACCGCTAGATTTACCTGAAAATACGAGTTACAACATCCTTGATTCATTTAACTTCTAATACTTGTTAATCACCCTTATACACTCTTGTATCACTTAAGACCAATATGATTGACTTCTTATCATCTCAAAGATAATTCCTTCTTGGATTTATGTTAACTAATATATGGCATGAACTAACACATGTAGATATGGGTTGTAACAACATGGTTACTAGACCAAAAAAAGAAAGGGGGTTGGGGCTAAGGAAAGCTCGCTCAAAAAACCTAACCCTTCTAGCCAGTCTAGCATGGAGATTAGCAAACAATACCACTAATCTATGGGCTACTACACTTCTTAAAAAATACTCTCATAAGCCAAAAGAGAAGGGCTCCTTCATTTGGAAAAGTGTTATTAAGGGATGGGAATTATGCCAAAAAGAAATGTCTTGGACAATTCATAATTCTTCTACCCTTAACTTGTGGGATAATAATTGGATAACCAACTCCAATGTCCTTAGAATTAAGCTATGTCATTGGCCCTTTAACTAAAGAGGAATCCTCCTTTAGGATTTGTGATGTTAGATCTGGAAATAAATGGAACTTGACTAATATCTCCTTGGATATCCCTAAGGAAATTATATCTAAAATCCACTCAACATTCATTCACAACAATATTAGTTCAGACTCTCTCTCCTAGGATAGCAACTCTAATGGTCTCTTCACGACCAAGTCTTGTTATGAACTTTTGGAAGGAAAAATGCACCCTGATATTAATAGTGACTGGATCTGGAAATTACATTGCCCTAATAAAATTAAATACTTTATATGGCTATGCAACCTCAATAGATTGCCATGCAGGAAATATCTATCCTATATTGGCATGAATATAGATGAAAGGTGTACCATTTGTCGTAAGGAACCTGGAACTCATAGGCACATTTTTCTCACATGCCCTAATGCCAAAATCCTTTGGGATAATCTGGGAATTGATACTTTCACAGTGCAACCTCTAAGCCAAACTTGGCTTAAATCTCTCCAACTAAAAAGTTCAATAATTCCTAATAAACTAATCAATTGGAATACCTTGTTTCCTTTCATTATTTGGAATATTTGGATTACTAGGAATAGCAACAATATTAATAATACTACCACTCGTTCATCCCTCTGTAGGATTATTCATCAATCAGTCAAATACGTTTTACTTACAAATAGGGAGTCAAATTGGGATCGGAAAATCAATCTCACCATCAGTTGGATTAAACCTCATAGAGGGTGGTATAAACTAAACATAGATGGTGCCTATAATAAGGATAGAAGTGTTGGAGGCATTGGAGGGGTTATAAGAAATGAAAAGGGGGACTGGCTGATTGGTTTTGCTTCAAAAATTATTGTAAAAAACCCAGTTCATGTGGAACTCGTGGCACTCTACGAAGGGCTTTGTATTGCAAACAACAAAAGCTCTACCTTTTGGAAATCGAGACTGATGCTACTCAGGTAATCTCTTTCATCCGTGATGGATGCAAAACTTACGAATCTATTATTAATTGTTGCAGGTTGCTTCTGGCTCAAATGGGCACCGTGGAAATGTACCACCTCTTCAGGCAGGGGAATGAAGTAACTCACAATCTAGCAAGGCATGCAATGACCACCTTAATTTCAAATAAATTTACATTTTGGTTGTATCCACCACCCTTTGTCTTGGCCAGGATGCTGGCAGACAAGAGAGGTGAGGGTTGTGAAAAAACAATTTCTTTTAAGTATTGTAGAATCCTTGTTGCTTTGGGTAATTTGCATGCCATGCATGGGTTACCTTCTATCAAGGATCATCACGATCATAACTACTGCTATAATGCTTAATGTTTATGTTTAATGAAATAAGTATCTTTATGTTAAAAAAAAAATAACTGTGCCTAACAGTGAGTGCGAGGATAATCCTAACCAGAAATAGGGAAAAACAAAAACAAATAAATAAAACCAAGCAAAAGTTAAAGGAAAAAGAAAAAAGACAAAGGACAAAGCGAGAAGGAAATACAATTCTAATCAGGGGTAAATTTGGGCAAACAAATAACTGCCTCGTTCAATTTACTTAAAACTTTCTATAACCCTAAACCCCATTTTTCCTCCATAGAGTGGATAGTGAAGTAAGCATGAGACCTCCAAGAGGACGTGGTGGCGGAGGATTTAGGGCCGGCAGAGAGGGCGGCCGCGGCGGTCGGGGCTTCGGCCGTGGAGGTGGTCGCTTCCCTCCTCGTGATGAAGGGCCTCCTCCCGAAGTAGTTGGTATTTTTTGACTCTCCTCGATTTTATGTGTTGCTATATGTAAAATACTGCATTGAAACAAAAGACTTTCTTTTTGAATATTGAAATGCAGAGATTTCTTCATTTGTGCACGCATGTGAAGGAGATGCAGTGACTAAGCTAACAAATGAGAAAATCCCATACTTTAATGCACCCATTTACCTTCAGAACAAGACCCAGATTGGAAAAGTCGATGAGATTTTTGGTCCCATTAATGAATCTGTAAGAAAACCCTTTTTCTCCTTGTTTTATTTTTTTCCCTTGTTTTATTTTGTAATTGTAAAATTAGAAGTTGGGATTCAAAATTTGTTGCTTTGATGTTATAAAATATGATGGGATTGTTTTTTTTTGTGTTTTCTGGTACAGTATTTTTCCATAAAGATGATGGAGGGAATAATTGCGACTTCATATTCATCTGGAGATAAGTTCTACATTGACCCAGCTAAGCTTTTGCCACTGGCCAGATTTCTTCCGCAGCCCAAGTATGTGTTTACTCGTCTTGCTTCATGCTTTTAAGACTTCATATAGACGTTTGTCTGTTTGAACTAACTACAATTCTCCTGGTTGCCTTGACCATGTTGTTTTTGGATAGTTGAAGGTTTAAATATGATTTAAAGCATTATTCTGGATTTAGGCTGTTTAAATTAACATATACCCTGCTGTTATGATTGCGAATAAATTTCTTTACATTATCTGAAAAAGTTAAACTGATGCAGGTCTGTCTTTTTTTAACGTGGTTTTTAAAAAAATCATTTACTTTTGAAATGCCGTCTTCTAGGTATAACACTACTGGTTATGCCAACTATTAGTATCTTAAACTCTAATGGATGCAGGATGAAGTAAGTGAAAACGCACTGTGATTAAAAGGAAGTTTATTTACCAGTCTATCTACTACAGCTTAATTCGAAACTAGTCAGGGATCCCAAACTAGTCGGTGTTGCCTATACGAATTCTATATCCATTCATGCTATTTAGACCTATTTCATTCCAATACTAATTAATGTATGGTAGATGTATTTTCTAGAGAATTCATCTTGTTAAGACTAATTTTAAGCTGGCATCAACTTGTTTCAGCCTGTTATATCACCTAACTGTAAATTCCTCTATTATTATTATTATTATAAAATGTCATTGCTGAAGCTAATACTGTAATCTATCATGAGTTTAGTAATGGATTCATGACACTGACAGAAAAGTTGTATTTATGACTTTGAGTGGAGCAGTTCATGTTTACGATATTCACAAATTACCATCCAAAGAAATAATCCATGTTTCATATCATATCCTATTTGCTTTTCTTGTTTGCACTTGGAATGCTTGTGAATAACAGGAAAGACAATATTTCCTCCCATTCTTATAGGAGAAATATTCCTATCTTCCATATGATTTATTTGTTCCAAATGACTATGCCTATTAAAATCAAGTATTGTTATAGCAATATGATTTAGTATGTTGTGAACTCAAACTCTGCCTGATAGACTTTCAGAATTTCAAAATCATTTAGAAAGATGTTTTAAAGTCATCATATTCGATATGTGCCTTGAGAAGTAATCACATCCAATGAGAGCGAAGTTAACCTGAAGCTGGAAGGATATGCTTATGTATGTCTTTTTTAGCAAACATGTAGAAGGTGTGTTCTTTTGGATTAGGAGGAAATCCTCCCTTAGAAAATTAAGGACTATGGCTTTGTTGCTCGGAAATATAAGGTCTATGCAGCTACCCCAAGAACTAAATGCATTTCAGAGCCATGTTCAGTTAATACTGCCACATCTTTCTTCAATATTGTGTTTTTTCTGTTCGACATTTAACTAAATCTGAAATCCTTAGCAAACTTGCAGAGCACAATGTTCATTTAGATGACGATAACAAATTCTACCTTAATGTTTAAGAGAATACAAAATCTATGTTTGACAGTAAAAATAATTAAATTGCAACCATGTTTGGTTGATACAACCACCTCTTTCTTTCATATTTTGTTTTTTTGGGTCTGACTTGAACTGAATCTGAATGTATTTCCCTGTTATCGCAGGGGACAGCAGCAAGCTTCTAGAGGTGGAGGACGTGGTGGAGGAAGAGGTGGGGGAAGAGGCGGTTTCCGTGGTGGTGGTGGTGGTTTCCGTGGAAGGGGTGCTCCTCGTGGTGGTAGAGGACCTCCTAGAGGTGGTCGTGGAGGCAGTTTTAGGGGTAGAGGGAGATTTTAGAAGCAACTGTAGTATTGTATTCAATTTTAGATATAGTGCTGCGATGTTGTTGAATCAATTGGGTGGGAGGATGTCGCTACAATTCTGTTCGTGGAATTGGCTCGTTTTCATTTCCACTGAACTGGAACCATTTGAGTGTTTTTTGCCCATTGAGCACCCATCATGATCAACAGCAGTATTAGTTAAATGCATTCTACTGTAATCTGAGATCCTTATGCTTGAAGTTGGTTTATTTTATGCTGGTGATTTTGGTACATATCTTGTATTGGTAGCCCAACTCTTTTTTTTTTCTTTTCTTTTTTCTGAAGCATAACTCATTCATTATGTGGACGATTGCAATAGATCTCGGAAGTTTGACCTTGGCTTATTTGTACTTCATAGTGCATGATAATAATTCCAGTAGTGTCCCTATTCCAGTGTATCATAAAGCTATTTCTTTCCTACAGGGTGATTTTGCCCGTTACCGTTGGTATTTTGGTACTAGTTGATCTCCTAGATTGCTATTTTCTTTGATTAGTTTTATTTTGCAGTGTTTTTTTTTTCTTCCGATTTTATTTATATTAGTTTTAATTTTACAGTGTCTCTAGTATGACGGAAAATGCCTTTTGAAAAATATTTTTCAGTGTTTAGTTGGTGAATGAAAATATAGTCTGAAATTAGACGGTATAAATTAAAGTTTAATATCAGCATTAGCAAATTGAAGTGTTTTTATAAGAACTTTGTGTATTTAAGAGTAATAATATCTGATTCAAGAGTGTTTTCAGTTCCCGAGTCTCTCCTACTTCTCAGAGCATGTGATGCGCATGGATTGAATCTAGGAATTGATTTCTAGATGTGCTGTAGGATCTGCACCTTGCCACAGTAGATTGACATGCTCTCATAAACTAACATAATATTAAATGATCTTTCATGTTTTATCAGGCGACAAAGGGTAGAAGATATCTGGATGATTGCAGTCACAGCTTTGTTCTTAAGGCTAAATTTTGAACTTGAGCGGGCTGAAATGAGAAGAGACAAGATAGGGTTCGTCTAGTGGAAAAAAAACTTGGGTAATTATCAGTTTTAGCCTGCGCCAGAAACTATTTAACATCCGGTAGCCGATAAAGTATATAAAACTTGTATAATTTTTGTATATAACATATAAAATGTCTATACATATACAAATTTTATACATTTTTTCGGCTATTATTTTTACAGCGGCTATACAGTGTCTTTTGTCCGAAAAAACGTCCAGCTCCAACTTAAACTTTGGAGATTCGAGTCACCAAGGGAGAAAAAGTGGTTAAAAGCACTGTAGGCAACTGGGCAGGGGGGTTTCAGGGGTGTGAGGATTTATACAATATAAAAATATAAGAAAAATAGCAAAATAGCTGAACTTAATATTCCAGGAAGATATCTACAAAAGATTGTAAATATTTCTGGTTCATTCTTAAGAAAACAATAAGGTCAAAGACAATTATAAAACTTTGTTTGATTAATAATAAAGAATTGGACCAAACAAAGTGGCCCCTTCTAGTGCTTTCAAGCCATCTTGCACTCATAAGAATGATGGTGTACAACATTTATTTTTCTTTTAAAAGGTCAAGCAAAACTATTGAAATGGCTAAATTTTTGTCAAATTTTGCACAAGTGCAGAAATGAATATGCAGAAGTATATGAACTCCATGCTTTAGAGTATATGTTTATTTGAAGAAGAAGCAATCGTCGCCTCATTCTTAGGCTTCCCATCCCCTTAGTGTTGTTGCTCTGGCAACACGGTTGACGCCTAGGGTGAAGGCACCCATTCGGAGATCGCAGTTGTGAGTCTTGCACATATCTTTGACATCTTTAAAACCTCTGTTCATGTATGCCTTTAGCTCAGTGTTCACTCTTTCCTCATCCCACATAAAACCTTGGATGTTCTAGCATTACAGAATCATCCAAAAGTTAATATGAAGAGTTATTGATCCCACAGTTTGGCTGGAATATGAGAAGATATAAAGGTCAAACTGATACCTGAACCCATTCAAAATAGCTGACAGTAACACCTCCTGAGTTTGCATATATGTCTGGCAGAATGACAACTCCTTTCTTTGCCAAAATCTGCATGAACAAAATTAGTTTAATTTTCGTTGTTCTCTGTCCTGTGTTTCAAATAATAACTGAACTAAAACACTGACCTCGTCAGCTTCAGGATCAGTTGGATGGTTAGCAGCCTCAACAATGAATTTGGCTTTTATGTCTTTTGCATTATCCCTTTAAAGAGATTTAAATGTATCATAAATCTGAAATGACAAGAGCTTGTTAATAACTAGTTTTATAGAAATAGCATGAGAATAACCTGTTAATTACTCCGCCAAGGGCAGCTGGTATAAGAACATCGCAGTCTTCTACCAGTATAGAATTAGGATCTATTGAATCCGCGCCATGGAAACCTTTAACTCCGCGATTTTCTTTCACATGTTTGAGTAGACTTGCTATGTCGATTCCATTTTTGTTCTTTATAGCACCTGTTATGTCACTGACTGCAACAATCTTCCCACCTTGCTCAGTAATGAGTTGTGCAGCCCAAGAACCAACATTTCCAAATCCCTGGAACGAAAGAAATCGTATCAAATTCCAGACCTATCCAACGAAATGTACTTTCTATATCCTTTTGTATCTTTCCTTACCAACCAATCAGCTAGTGTGGAATTAATTCTGTTCCTTTTGTTTTTGAGAAAAACAGAATAGTTTTCGAGATTAAGTTTCTCCACAATTGTTAGTTGAATTAAGGGCACTAACCTGAACAACAAAATGCTGCCCAGCGATGCTCTTTCCATGGTCTCTAAGCAGTGCTTCAGCAGCAAAAAGAACACCCCTACCAGTAGCTGCATCTCTGCCTAGAGATCCACCAAGATCCTGTTGTCAAAATGTTGAATTTCCCAAGTTAAACCAATACAAAGATTGTATAGTTGTGAGTCAAGCTAGAAAACACAGACCATGAGAATAGGTTATCATCAAACTGAAAGTTTATTTACACTACTCAGATCGTGTAAAATGAACTATGGAGTGTACAGGATCGTCAATCAGAAATCAGAATGTTATTCATACTTACAATAGGTTTTCCAGTTACCACTGCAGGTGAATAGCCATGAAACTTTGAGTACTCATCTAGAATCCACGCCATTGTCTGCGTAAAGCAACACCTCAGTTAGATCCATCCGTAGCATGCCAAAAGGTTAAGGGGAAATGACACTTTCTCCTGTCCGATAAAATGATATGCCTGAGACATATATATACCTGTGGATTTGTTCCCATGTCAGGTGCTGGAACATCTGTATGAATTCCAATAAGGTCATGGATTTTTTGAGTAAATACTCGAGTAAGTCGCTCTAGCTCAGAGATGCTTAAGTCACTGGGACTGCACCCTATTCCTCCTTTAGCCCCTCCATATGGTATATTGGCAACCGCTGTCTTCCATGTCATTAGCTGTGCTAAGGCATTCACCTCATCCGGATCAACCTACATTACTCATAACCATTTGAATCAGTATCAGACATTGTTACATTAATCAAAAACATGATCTTGAATTAAAGAAACTCGATCAATCTTGCCATTCTGTGTAATTCAGCCAAGTTAAACAACTAACCTCAGGATGGTATCTGATTCCTCCTTTCATGGGGCCTCTAGCATTGTCGTGTTGTACCCTGAATCCAATAAAAGTTGCCAATGAGCCGTCATCCTTTGGTATTGTACACTCAACCTGCAATATCAGTCAATAAGTACAGCTTACAGAAAAATGAGAAAAGCAATATACAAGCACATTAGTGCAAAAAACAAAGGTTTGACAAAACAGTCCAGCACCCAAATGTGTGATCTAGCCGTCAATGAAATGGTCTGAAAGACTAAACTATGAGACTAGGGTCCAACTCTCATCAAAGACAAAAAGATAGAGGTGATTTATTTTGGCTAGGCTCTGATGGACAGAGTCACTCGGTATTTGTATTAATGGAGATAGCACTGGATAAAAATCGAAGTGCACGTAAGCTGCTCCAAAACCATATTATAAAAAATTGTCTCACGTGTAAAAGTCTAGTAGAGAAGTAGAAATTTAAGTAAAAGTCAGAATGTTAAGTACAATGTCCAAGATCAACGCAAAATTCAATCTGTCCAGTTCTTAGAATGGCCAGATCATAGGAGGTGCAAAATGATCAAAGCGGCCAAATTACTGAAAACAAAACATGTCGGATGTCATCAAAATCTTGGCACCCAAAATAAAGATGTATTGCAGCACCCAAATGGAACAAAGAACTCAAGAAAAGAATTGCAAAATGACAAAAATGGAATGAGCAACAAACCTTAATCTCCCTAAATGGAATGAGAAGACACTGTTCAAGCTTGGAATCCAAGCCTAGCAAACGAGATGCTAGCTTAAAGTTTCTGTTGGTTGCTGCTAAAGCGTTCATGATTCTTCAAATAGTTTCCTAAATAAGCTTGATCCCAGAAAGTTAAAATCTGAAACAAGACAAGAACAAATCTGGTCAACTCTTGGTTATGTAATTTGAGAATGAAGCAACAAAAGTATTTATACTTGAGTTTATAATGAAGAAGTTTCCTAATAACTTTGCTTATTTTCCCATGTGGACATCTTAATTTCAAAACAATCTTGTCATCAACACGTACCCTTCTTATCCGTTAATAATCCCGAATTCACATATACATAGCTTGACATTTTTTTCCTTAACAAAAACACCTTTTTCATGGCTGATGACAGCTAGATTATTGCAAAGCCAACGCGTGATAAGCAACAGCTAATAAAATATTTCTACATCTTCCTCCTACAAGTATTCTGTAAATTTTGTTAATTAGGTCATATGCATGTATCAGCATTTTTTAAATTAGCAGTGGTCTAGTCAATTTTGTAAGTACTTCAACTATTTCAGTAGATACTTGCTACCTTTAGATAACATACTAATTAACTAAGCTGTCAACGTTTAGACAAATAGAAAAAATCACCTTTTGTACTTGTTTTACTTTGATTTGAACCTTACTTCTCTCTTCATAATTTTCACCTACTTTATTGACATATTAACCGCACCCTTTGGTGCCTATTTTGTCGGCATATATATCAAACCCAAGTTGCAACAGTCAAAGATTAGTTAAGAATTATTTTTTTCTATTTTTTAGTTTATCCATCTCCAAAATTAACATTGACTAATGACTCAGACCATTCTTCCATTTTGCGGTTTCGAGGCTGCTAAAAAGGGTCATTGTCTACGTTATTAAACCATTTATTATATTGGAGTATTATTACATGGTCAATTCTTTTTAGCGCTATTGGCCCACGAGATTTATCGAGCCAACGCACAACTACATTAGAAATAATTGTCCAAATATGCCTAACCT